GCCCGCCCGGCGCGCATTGGAGCCGCGGACTGTCGCTCGCCGCCCCCTGGGGAGGGGCGCCGCGGGCTGCGGTCCCACGGCAGAGGGCTGCTGCCTGCTGGTGGGAGCCGGGCTTCCCGGCTGCCTGGGCGCCCCGCCCCGCGAGCGCCCCCCGACCTCGGCAGCAGGGTCGCCGGCGCCGTCGGTAAGTGAAGGAGGGCGAGGGGGTGGCGGGGACCGGGGTCAGGGCCAGTGTCAGGTCCGCTGGCCGCCTGCGCGACGGGGTGGGCGGAAGGTCCCCGCTGGACACCCTCAGTCCCGGCCCCCGAGGAGGCCGGGGTAAGAGCCGGGAGAGGTCGCTTGTCCGCCGGAGCCTCCAGCCAGCGCGACCCTCGTCAGCTGTGTCCGCCCACCCTCAGCTCATTCTGGCCTCATGGGTTGCGGGTCCCGCTCTTCCGTCCTTACCCTTATTTGAGGGAAATGTGATTTGGGGTTTCTGGCCATTATAATTGTGCCGATAGCCTGAAGCTGGGCTCTCTGTTCCACGCCCCCGGCACTTCCCTTTTTGAGTACCTGGTCCTGCGCTCCGGCTCCTGCCGCTGGGCGCATCCAGTCGGAACGAGCCGCCTTCCTCCGGGTGGCGGGTTGGGGGTCCGCACCCGGCCCTGGGAGAGGGTTACAGCTTTCCCCGCCGAAGGGCTTGCTCTTGGCCTCCGGCTTCTCTGCTCAAGGGGAAAAGTGGCGTTAGACTTGCGATTCTGTCAGGAAATGACAACGGGGACTTGAAGATTACCGCGGCGATAAAAGTACCCTGCAGGTTAAGGAGAATCGTTTGCACACTAACATTCTGCAAAGTCGAACGTCTACAGATTGTACTTTCCCCATTTCAGTTAGGCTTTTATTTGGGTATTTGATCTCTACCGTAATATACATTCAAGTGAGCTTCACGGGCAGTTGTCTTTGGGCAATCCAGGTTAACTTCAAATCGTACCATCTTAAACATGATCTAATTTCAATACTTCTGTTGTACATTCTCTGGTTGGTAAAAACTCTCAGGTGCTGAGATGTCCAAGACGTGAAAAAACTTAGAGCTGTAGTCAGCTGTGGCTCTAGGGCTTATGGAAGCATTGCGTGACGAGGGACGCTGCACAATGTTCATATTTTAGTTCCATCGCTGTTCTAGGATGACTTTGTCTTTCTGTCAGGGACATAGAGTATGTAACTCCCAACCTAAGGGAATATTTACTTAGATCATAAACTGATTTCCTGAGTTCCAGTTCCTTTTGTGGTTTAGACTCAAGAGCTACGCAAATAAACCATCAGTGCTGAAGGATTTACACAAAAACAGTACAAGGAAAGAGTCCCCTTGCTTATTTTAGGACATCCATCAACAAAAATTAATACAGCTTTTGTTAGATCATCACCTCACATCTGTGTTCATTGGTGCTGTCATACTATTCTGTGGATTAATTTTATGTTTATATAAAACTAATCAGTTTGCCAATTGCATAGCTTATCAATTATATTTGGCTTTCAAATTAGTTCCAGAACCAAGAAAACAAAATATAAAGAATTTCAAAAGCTTGGGGTTCCTGGGTGGCTCAGTCGTTGGGTGTCTGCCTTCGGCTCGGGTCATGATCCCAGGGTCCTGGGATCCAGCCCCACATCGGGCTCCCTGCTCAGCAGGAAGGAAGCCTCCTTCTCCGTCTCCCACTTCCCCTACTTGTGTTCCCTCTCACTGTGTCTCTGTCTGTCAAATAAATAAAATCTTTTAAAAAAAATTTAAAAAGCTTGATTTTAAAATAGCAAGAATTCAGTCTAGTCTTGGTTCAATTATGAGTTGATGGGCTGACTTATGGTTAAATAAAACAGTTAAAAACTTTTTGACTAGTGAATCTAGAGCAGATTAGTATCTCCAAACAATTCATCTTTTGGATAAAACTCTAATGCCCACCTTCTGAGCATGGGCTTCAGAAACAGGCAGTCTGGTTGAATCTGATCTGTTACCTACTAGCTGTGTAATCTCGGTCAGATTGTTCAACTTTCTATGCCTCAGTTTCTTCCTCTGTAGATAGTGATACCACCACCTACTCATTTTGTAATGTGGGGAAGATTAGAGATGTATGTAAAAGGGCTTAGCATATCCTACTGCACAGAGTTGCTCAATAAATGTCAGCTATTATTATCATTCACTCTTACTGACCTTTGACTATGTGCTCATGATGGAAAACATTTGAACAGTAGATACTTAGGGGAAAAAAATGTCAAAATTATAGAACTAAATTTAAGAGGGGAGAATGACAGTGATGTTAAATTTCCCAAGAGTGTGTATGAAAAGTAGCACCTCTCCGATGGAACATACATTTTTAGAACAGAAACCTTATGGTATAATGGAAAGAACATTGGAGAGTCAGAGTCTTCAGTTCTAACTCTGGCTATGACCTTATCTAACTGTATGGCTTTCGGCACTCCAACTACCCACTCTGGAGCTCATTTTCTTCATCTGGCTGGACTTGAATGATCTCTAAAATCCTTTGCAGCTGCAGAATTCTTTATTGCTTGTAATAAAAATCACCCTAGCTTTCTTACCACTTTGCCCTTCATTGTTTTGTTATTGTCATCTGTTAACTTGGATTTGAGTCATAAACATCCATAAAGATAGCACAACGGAAGAATTGATATCAGATTTGCAAATAATCCAAGTTGAAGTTTTAACAAAAAGAACAGAATAGATTCCCATTGTAATCTTTTTGGTATTTTTTATTCTCCAGTCATTTCAGAAGATTATTAGATGGGAAACGTGCCTGGTAGAATCATATACATTCAACTGAAATCTTTCTATAGGAAACGATAGGCTGATGGTGAAATAAAATACCACTCTTTTTTCTCTTATCAGGTTGATCCTTAAATAAAACAAAAATCTATCCGGTAAAGGGCTTTCATGAAGAAATTAAAGAGAGAAATTACAAGTAAGAGAGAAACCAAGAATTGTACACCGTAGAAACCACCTAAAACAACTGTATGGAGTAAGACAAAAGGAGTGAATACATCTGGAAGAAATTTTACTTAGTATATTTTTGCCCACCTTTTTGTCATAAAGACTGCTAAGGAAGAGAGAATATAGTTTTCTAGAGAAAGAACAAGTGTGATATAAAAATGGAAACCATGGTTTCCGAAATTCAAGTTGAAAGCAAGGATGAGAAGAGACCCACAGAAGTTAGTCCTCAAGATGAGAGGCAGGAGGAAAGAGCATCAATGCTTTGCTTCAAGAGAAGAAAGAAAGCAAGCAAAGCAGTGAAGCCCAAAGCTAGCTCTGAGGCTGCTGGCACAGCAAGAAAGTGTCCCCCAGAAGCAGGAGCTACCGAGCAGCCACGGCCCCCAGGGGGGGCCTGGGCCTCAATCAAACGTCTTGTAACACGCAGGAAAAGGTCAGACTCTTCAAAGCAGCAAAAGCCCTTTGAGGCCAAAGTGCAACCTGAAATCAGTGCTGAGGATGCTGATCTTTCTAAGAAAAAGGCAAAATCCGGGCTTAAGATTCCCTTCATAAAATTCTCAAAAGGAGAGAAACGAAGTAATCATTCCAAAATTATAGAAGACTCAGACTGTAGCCTCAGAATCCAGGGAGAGGCTGAACATTTGGATACAAAAGCTCCAGCCCAATCAGATGACCAGGCAATAAAGACCAAGTTGCCCCAGGATATAAGTAAAGATGTCTCACGGAAAGAGGGTGACGAGGTCTGTGAACCAAATGTGAGCAACAGCACAACTACAGCTGGAGAAAAAGTGGTTTCAGTAGAACTTGGGTTAGATACGGGGCGTTCTGCCATTCACCCAGGAGCACTAATCCTTGAAAGAGATACCGAAACGACGGAGGAAAAACAAAGTGTCCGACCCCAGCAAGCAAGCCCACTTGAAACTTCAGAAACAGAACATCAGCCACCAGTGGTTTCTGATGTTCCTCCCTCACCTGCAATCCCAGATCAGCAAATTGTGGAAGAAGCCAGAAGCAATATCCTAGAAAGTGGACCAAACTGGGGAGAGCATGACAGTAGAGAGATTATAGCTGAAGAGAGTGAGCAAAAAGACACTGAATTGAGCCAGGAATCAGAGCTGAGAGAAAATGAGGTCACTGCAGAGAAACCCAAACCAGAAGAAAGCAAAAGAATGGAGCCAATTGCTATTATTATTACAGACACTGAAATCAGTGAATTTGATGTTAAGAAATCTAAAAATGTCCCTAAGCAATTCTTAATTTCAATTGAAAATGAGCAAGTAGGGGTTTTTGCTAATGATAGTGGTTTTGAGGGTAGAACTTCAGAACAATACGAAAAACTCTTAATAGAAACAGCTTCTTCTCTTGTCAAGAATGCTATCCAATTGTCTATAGAACAGCTGGTTAATGAAATGGCCTCTGATGATAATAAAATGAACAATCTTCTATAGTGACTTCATTTCCAGATCATGGAAGGAAAAAAAAAAAGCTTCATGTTAAATTATGTTGCATATTTGTGGCATTTCTTATTCAGTTAAAATGAGAGGTTTATCATCCGTGGAATTTACAGGTACAGTTCCAGCCCAGAAGTGCTAAAGAATTTAGTTTATAAAACTCTCCTACCATTGAAATGCAGTCACTTCTGGATTTTGGAGGAAGTTAGTGCAGATCACAATGCAAGTGACATACAGGGAATTGCTAAAATGACATGTGGAAGTTGGGGTGCTTGAGGGGAGGAGGCTGTATTTATTGAGCACTTATGGTATGCCAGAAACTCTTTAATATTCTCTGATGTCACAAAGCCTGGTTTCCTTTTGATAGTTCAATCCTGTGTATAGGTTAACACCACATTTGGTTTTCAAAAAAAATTTTTTTACAGTGCACTTTTATGTTTAAAATGGTGAATAAGGTGAGCTGTTTTTGTGAATGTGTGATTTACAGTTGTTACACTCATAGGCAGTAGTCTTACCTCAAAAAAATGCCTTTTCCTAATTTCAGCAGAATGTGCATATTTGAATTAAACCTGAGTGTTTTTCTCGTCTTGCTTAAATACCATACAGAAGCCATTCACAATTTCTTTCAAATAGCAAATAATTACCAAGTGCAAGGGTGTGGAAATAGGCAGTACATTTTCCTTGTCCATCTTTTTTCTGCCTCAAACAGACCTGTCTAAACCCATTTCTGCATGGGGTCATCTGCTGAAAAGTGAGAAACAAAACCCAAAAAACTGAACAACAGCAACAACAAAAACAAGAAGAGTGAAATACTGTTTTCCATCCGGGAGAAGGCAAACTGCCCAAGTAACAAATGATCACAGATAACGTAGGATTCATCTTGCAGGATTGTGCCTCTAGAGACCACATTCATCCACCTCTCTCCAAAGAGGGAATTCACAGCCAGCTTGGCAGTAAAAGTCCCAGGAAATCATAATAACTTAGTGAACATATTATTCACTTTTGATCAAGAATGAGCCAAGTTCATGGTTGAATAGAAAGTGAAAAGTTATTGCTAAAGTACATTGTATTTTAAATGTCAGTATTCTCTCATTGTGCCTGTGTGTCAAGAGACACTAGTAACAAACGTTTTACATGGATTTTGAAAATTAACTTTTTCATCAGTATGTTCAATCCAGCTAATCCCTTACCAAAAAAAAAAAAAAAATGAACTTAATGTAATGAGAAGGGCTTATTTGCATTTTATCTGGTTATTTAAATCATCGATCTCATCAATGATTGCCATATTTTTTGAAAAAGTAATTCCATTTCAATCTTTCCTTGTGTGAAATGGCCATAATACTGCAACACACTTCCCTACCTCACAGGTAAAGTTCCAAATTGTATGTCCCCACTGACTAAACTGAGGGACAGCGTTACTCTGACAGTAGATGAAGTAAGTATAAAGAGCTTTCCACTCGAGTTGCAAAGTATTTGTTAAAGAGGATTTGTACATTCTTGGAGAAAAGAGTGTACTTCAGATGAGTGTAAATGATCTGGTGACTTCTTGCATTATTTATGGCTTACATAGAGAAAGTATGTGCTAATTTGTCCTATAGACCCTTCTTTGTTTCTTTCTGTGAGTACATCTTGAGATCTCTGGCAGAAAAACCTAATCTGACTTTGGAACTGAACCAAATAATGGATATTATTAGCAAGATTCTTTGCTGAAGTGCAAAATTATTCCCCCAGACTTTCTTACCTTCATGCCTATAATCTTGAGAAACCCACAAAAATCCTTCAATTCAGCAACACAAAAGTGGATTTTCAAAACATATGACCCAAGAAATGAATTTCTTTTAGTTGTACAATTTTTAAACATTAAAAAAAGACTGCTAAGTCATTCTCCCTAAAAATACTCTTTTTAATTCACTATATGTGGTGCTAATGGACTTGGATGGCTACCAGCAAATATCATATCATATTTAGAAGTAAACAATTTTTAAAAATCTGATCAAAGTTGGTGCATTTTACAGTGTTTTAAGGAATCCTGTCTTCATTTATTGCAAGAATAGCTCAAGCCAATATACTTGCATTAAGTTTTTTAGTAATCTCTAATGAATGAACACAAAGTATAACACTTACAAGTGATTGAAAATATTTTGGAAGGCTTAGGCATATTTGGGAGTTTTAAAAACATATGAGGTAAATACGTGTAACTAATTATTTTTGTTAAGAAAATAACACTTTCTCTAGTCCTGGGTTTCTACTTTTTTTTTTCCTACTATGGTTTGATATATATTTTTGGTTAGAATGTATTATAATTGATTGTTTTTGTGATAAGATGTGTACTCTACCTGCATTCATTCTTAAGTGGTTCCTCCTTAATCTTTTCTATTGAGAATATCTGGTGAATTAAATAAATAGGGTTCCAGTCTGAAAAATGAATCCAGAAATTAATTGGTCTCAATTTGAGTATACCTGCCACATGGCCAAATCCTATTAAAATGAATTCTAAGATGATCCAAATTGTTTTGTTACAGAAATAAGCAGGGATCAGATAACTTGGAAGTCCCTTATAAAATATATTTCATTTTAATAGTATTTATTTTAAGCAATTGGACCTTATATGCAAGACATTAAATGTATATAAATAGGTCCCTATTCGGTTCATACCTACATTAGACATGATTAAAATGATCATTTAAAAGACAATTTAATAATAGCACATTAATTTTCATTTACATTTGCTGTGATAAATGCTGCTTTTAATGAACACTTTATTAATTAGCTGGGATTCAGTTTCCCTTTGAACTCAGAATTTTACAAGGTGGGTTGGTTTATTGGATACTTGTTAATTTTTTCAGCATATTATCTTCTCCCTTTTAAGAGTCAAGTATTATTCACTTTGCTTTACAACCCAGTGAATATGAAAACCCTCTTCTATTTTATGTAGCACTATTCACTTAACATTTTCTCAAAGTACTTTATAGGATATAAAAATAGTACTGGGTAACATTTAAGTAAAGATAGCAGAAAACAAAAGAACTTTCAAACAGAAATTATGTTCCCTGACACCACCTCCACCTGGAAGAATAATAAGCATGTGGCACAAATGGGATTCTTCAGAAAAGCTGTCTGCATAATTTTCTTTCAAGGTAATGCATTTGACAGCACGAAGTTTGTGACGATCTTAATTGGTCTACTATTTAGTGGAATCTAAGAAACTCTCTGATTTATTTCTGAGAGATAATCTTATTTCACCAGTGTCTGTGAAAAGCCATACTGCTAAAGATCAAGTTAGAGATGTGGGTCATGGGAGGGCACCAGCCAAATCTGGCTTCTGCATGCAATCCAGAGTTAACTTCATCAATGTGCTCTGCTGATTGGGGGTTGGACAGACTTTACAATGACAAGTTGCCTTATTTTTTATAGTTAAAGAGTTAATTTGCAGGGGGTTGGGGGTAGAGCAGAACTTTTAAAATAATTGTTAGGCTTTAGAATCCCATTGTTTGGAAAGGTCCTTTTAATGTTAACTTTATTCAGATATGTAAAGTCTTCTAATTTCATCTGATACTCAGTACATCAGGGGTTGACTTTTCTGCCTGCCATTTCTGTTTTTTAAAAGTCCTTGCTAATGGTTTCAGGTTCTTTAGGTTCAAATTCCTATGATGTTTTACTGTGTAACATAAAGTTTCTTATTATACAGAATTCAAAATTTCAGACAATAGTACATTTTATGGTACATTTTTGAAAAAAAGTTCTTGTAATCCTTATTTAGTTACAAAAATTAAACAGAAGGAAGCTACATAAAATTTAGATGTCCTGATTAAATTCAGTTTGGTTCAACATGTGTTGGATATAACATATGCCCAACACTGTAAAGGAGACAGGCTCCCAGCCCTCCAAGAGCTCAAGCTAGGGAACAGCAACCAGAGGAACTGGGACAGGGATTAAGGCAACGAGCCGCAGGCAAGGAACATCATGAGCGCCACAGACGGGAGAATAAAGAGAAAAATAAACGTGGTTCATTTGTCCGGTGTGGGGGGGTGGTCATTTAAATACGGGGACAGTTTGAAAGCATTCCATTTCTAGATATTTAAACAGTTATATTCATTATGATTTGTGAACAGGTGCAGAAAAAAAGCCTGCATAATGTTACATATTTATAGTAGTTCTTTATCTGTAAAAATGTTAAGTGGATGAGCTATTATGAAAGTAAAAATTCCATATTGTAATTTCTCATTAAAATCAGTACTATAGGACTGTGGATCAGATGCTAATATTTAAGAAATACTCTGTAGAAAAAGGTTTCAACCTGAATTGATATATGTATGACTCTTAATATAGAATAAATGTTATAGTGGCTCATGTTTATTTTATTTACATCTTAGTATATTATGTTTATTTCCTAAAAGTATAAAGATCACACTGATGGAACTATTGAGTTAGCACGACCAAGAGTTGTGCTCTGCTGATTGGGGGTTGGACAGACTTTACAATGACAAGCCTAAAAGAGCCCACCTCCAGCAGAGAGAAACACAAACACTTCGAACTTGAACTCGATTCCAGTGAACTATCTATCCATCTAAAGGGCATATCTGACTTTGATGCCATCTATAAATCTGATGAAATTGTACTTGTTTTCATAATCTCTTGCTATATTCATTAGTTGCCGTTTCTACATTATATTAACCTATGAATTGTTAGTAATCTTCATGGCTTTCCAAATAAGCAATCTTGGTATGAAAATGCTTAAATTATCCAGATGTTGCCTGCTAAAGCTGGGTGTTTCAAAAGCTTTGTTTATGAAGACACTGATTTTATTCCCCTAACATTAACAACCCTGTTGTTCCTAAAGCACAGAGCAATGGTAATAATTGGACTCTATGAAAGAATGTACTTTCCAAATCTCGGGACCAATTTAAAGTTGATAGTGTCTGGGGCGCTTGTCTGGCTCAGTCCGTAGAGCGTGTGGCTTTTGATCTCAGGGTTGTGAGTTTGTGCCCCACGCTGGGTGTGGAGATGACTTAAAAAAGAAAATAAACTGGATAGTGTCCTAAAACTAAAACTTTTTCCAAAGCAAACTGTTTTACTAATGTACAAACCCTGTACATAAGCTTACTTAATATTTCACATCTTGCAGAGTTTTAAAATTCTTATTGAATCACATCT